AATTAAATAATGAAATAAATAGAATTATAATAACAGAATACTTGGCATGGCGAATGCCTAACGCTGACGAGTTGAAATGATAAGATTAGTAGCCTCATGGCTCTTTGAAATCTACCTTATGAGCAGTAGCGCCGGCGTTTCCAGACGCGAAAAGTTTTTACGACTATATTTCGAAGCAGCCTTAACTAATATACTTTTTCTCGAAGTATTTGAAGACAATAAAAGAAACATATCTTTCGCGACTTTGACTTTGCAATGATTGCCAGCTCAAATACTATGGCAATTGGTGTGTACTCGTATTAAGAGGACAAAATTCTAAAGCAGTAAAAGTTCTGAGAATTTAGCAGCATTCGCTCTCGAAGAGGCGAAATATCAACAGAAGTACGAGAACGCAAAATTTGCAAAAACTTGCAACCTTCGAAACAGCTGATCACTTGCACAGTTGCCACTGGTGATTAATTTGGCAATTTGTTTTCTGTTTGGTACATTTTCCCCCGATTTGGCATTTTATACAATTGAATAGTTTTCGATAAGAAAAACCTTTTTAAAATACAAATTAATTATATCGGAATGAATAAGTTATTTTTCTCACAATTATTTGTGATATTACATGGTGACGCACTCAAAAACAAGAGTATCTCCTCCAAACACCCATCATTGATCCAAAAACAATGTAATAGATATAGCTACAGACGTAGCTTTAAAATTATGAAATTTTCATTTCAACAATCAACCTACCAAAACCGAAAACTTCAGCAAAACAACATTTCAGCATGCTGCATTTAAATCTATATTGGTATATTTAAAGGTAAATTATGGTACAAACGAAAAATGTCATACGGCAACCATAGTCAGCACACACTGAAGTAAACAAACTGGAGATTAACAGCAAATTAGCGAAAAATAAACACAACAAACGTTGTGCATATTAAATTTACTCACTTTTTCGTTGTATACTAGCATTAATATAGCTCAAAAAGGCCATATTTTCTTTTGTTTATTTACAAACATGTGTTTGTGATGAGCTGAAGCTGTCCAGCAGAAATTTGCAGTTCTCTTTCACATTTTGATCTCTCAATTTCCCCTACTTTGCAAATTTTTTGGGTACGAGAACGCAAAACCAGTAAAAGTTTTCTAAAACTTTAGATAGCTGGGCGTACGAGTACACTCCTAATGTCGCAAGAAAGTTTCCATACAAAAGTAATCAGCTGTGTCGCAAGGTGGCAAATTTCGCGACAAATGCGATATTTGCAACACCTTTCCCAAGTTTCATGAATCCGACTAATATTTTAGGAAATTGAGTTGCATCATTTTTGTTTTTGCTCCATATGTTTTGATAATTGAAATGTTAACTCTGCCAAATCCTTTAATATAAAAGACTAATCAGTTTGCACATTTACATACATACTCTGTCATCATTAAATTAAATAACCAAAATAAACACATTTCTAACTTTAAAAACTGGCATTTGCCAGAATACTTTTCTAAAATATTCGCTTCGGTTCTCACCGCCACTGTACATGCATACATACGAGTATATACGTACATACTAGGGATGCCAAAATATCAGGAAAATTGGGATCCCGGGATTTCGGGATATTTTTTAGGTAATCCCGGGATTCAAATTGAGTCATAAATTTTATGAATTTGAGTAAAAATACAATATCTGAAAACATTTAAACATACGATTAAATAAAACTATTTAAAATTTACGATATATATATCATAGGTATATCGCTAGCTTAGAGTGAAAGGTTGCTAACTTCACTTTTAATGAAAAATCATATTTTGATATAGGAGGCTAGATAAATTAATATTGCACCGTTTTGAAAAGGGGAAAGGTCCTTGTTTTATAATTTCTCGTTTATATTCAATGAAAGGAAAATTTGCTAAGGCCAAAAAAAGCTCCGAAAATTCGATAGGGCCAAAAAAGTTCGAAATCTTTTAATAAAGATCGAATCCCTCTGATTCGTATGGAGTTTTGCTTTGCTTTAAACAGGCAAAATGTTGTATTCAAAGTATAGCGAAATACTTGAAGAAAATGGATATACGAAGTTTTTTCCTCTCCTGTACAATTTTTAAATTGGGACTTAGCAACTTTGCACTCTACGCTAGCGATATTTATTTATTCAATCAGACAAATTTTAAAGTAAAACATTTTTTAATTGTATTTAAATGTGATTGAGGAACGTATACATCAAAAATAATAATTTAAATACCAGGTACTTTTTAAAGCAACGATTAATAAAAAAAACATAAAACAAAAATATACAAAAACAATTTATCTAAACATGTATATTCTACTCTATAAAGAAATGGCGAATGGAGAATTTTTTGCCATTTTTTTCGCAATTTACTAGAAATTTTGAGGGTGTACGAGTCAAACGGATCTCAGAATCGGATTCAGCGGGTCGAAATACATGTTGGTAGGTGGGTCTGGTTAAAAACACACACCCTTTATTTCCGGTGTTGTTATTATTGCACTTAAAATATTTTCATAAGAGCAGTAAAGCATTAAAAGCGGAGTCTTCTAAGCTTGACCTGCAGTTTTTACATATGTTTAGGCGCGTCTGCTAACACCAGGCGCCTAAATACATGCTATGTACTGCTGCATGTGCAAAAATTTCCTTTATGCAATTTAGGAAATTTTTTCACATGCACTTCTCAACTGCCATGTAATTGAACTTTCTTAAGTTCTAATTCGATGGCACTTCAAAGTATGCTCGGCCTAGTCTGATGCATCCTCCGGACACTGCTTCCGGAGCATTTTTCGGACTCTACATGGCTTACAACCGTGCAGAGGTGGTAAACGAACTTTACCATTGGCCACAGTGCCTACCCACCATTTTTGAACCAATAAATATTTTTTTTATATTCCGCAAAATGCTCCGGAGCTGATGCCTCAGACTAGGCCGAGCATACTTTGAAGTGCCATCTAATTAGAACTTAAGAAAGTTCAATTACATGGGAGTTGAGAAGTGCAAAATGCTTCGGAAGCAGTGTCCGGAGGATGCATCAGACTAGGCCAAGCATCCTTTCAACTGTCATCAAATTATAACTTAAGAAAGTTTTATTACATGGCAGTTGAGAAGTGCATGTACATAAATTTCATTAATTTAATTAAGGAAATTTTTGCACATGCAGCAGTACATAGCATGCATTTAGGCGCCTGGTGTTAGCAGTCGCGCCTAAACAACATACAAAACCTACTGATGAAAAACATATTTCGGCATCAACGCTTTTATGCTGAACTGCCAAAAGGTAGACATAATCCATTTGAAGATAATGACCTCTATCTCCTCCATTACAAAATATTTTAACTTCTTTTACCAGCACGTCGGTCAAATTATAAGTTTTTCGATTTGAGGAAGTTTTGAGTAGATTGAACTAAAAAATTATCTAACTTTTCCTTAAAACTCTCTGTTTCGTTTACATTAGCGTCGCTATGAGTAAATTCATTGAAATCTTCTTCCAAAAAGGCTCAGACTGCATTTTAAAAGTACAGTTTCAAGCTTTATGTTAATTGCAGTCAAAACGGCATTTTACAAAAATCATACTTCAAAATTCATAAACAAATTCTTACTATCAATTCGATATTTCAAAATTTTCGGGATCCCGGGATGTGCTTGCATTAATCGGGACGGCAAAAACACCGGTATCCCGGGATTCCGGGATCCCGGGATTGGCATCCCTAGTACATACCCACCAAAAAATTATATAAGAAGTTGTAAGAAATAAGCAATTCGCTGGCGGCGCTGCTTGCAGCGTTTATTTTACATGATCTATAAGCCATATATAAGGTAATTATACTCCCAGTGATGCCTTATTATAAGGGATTATTAAACACTTTTTTTATATGACCTATAAGGCTTAGGCATAAGGGTCTCTCAGAGAGAGAGAGAGAGCGAACCTTATGAAATGATGACATCAACACATGTGGTGTTGATTCAAACTGAACATTTGAAAGCACATGTACATGTATGGCTGTAGCTGAGTGTGCAAAGATGCTTGATACAATCGGTTGCTGCCAAGACTGTCCGGGTTCAATTCTCATCAGACGGACCACAAAATTTTATTTTATTTTTTTTTCGCTCTTTGAGAGAGAAAAAGTTAAACCTTATTCCCAATGGCGTCAGTACGGCGAAATCAGGTGTAAAATAAGGGTTGTGCCATACAACTTGTATTCCTTACAAGTTTCTTGTATTAAATGTTAAAACTTACGATCATATTAAATAAGGCTTATATAAGGCGCAAATTTTTTGGGGGGCATATTTGGAATCTGTCATGTGTGCATTGACCAAAAATGATCCAAGTTTTCACCATTGTCTTACGCATGCGTAAGCAAGCGCTGCAGATCGACTCCAAAATTTAAGCTCCATATGTATGTACATACATACATATATAAACATAATTTTGCTATCAGATATGTGCAAGTGTGTATATGTATACCTTGAGGTCGGCTTGGTTATACATAAGTACATTTGCTCGCTGTTTTTGTTTTAAATTAAATTGCACTCACGTACCTATCTATTTAATTGAACCAATCGCTATATCATTTACAATATATATTATCTAGATACTGATTTACTGGACTTAAATCTTATTTGTTGTTTAATTTACAAATTTTTACTTTCTTTTTCAGACACTTTTGTAGTCGTTGCGCTTATAATTACCAATGAATTTATGGATATATTGCATGCCAAGATATATCGCGAAAGTTTCTAAGTACTACGTAGATATGCACACACCAACAGAAATTTTCCTTTGCACATATCTTATTTTAAAGAAGTTCACCATAATAAACACATTATTTGTAGCTTTTCACATATTTTTCAGAGTTTCTAGCTTGATTTTGGGGTTCTATACCGGTTTTGTGAATGCATTTTCATTGATTTCTTTGCAAACAGATCATATTCTATGGTACAAAATGTTAACTTGCATCAAAAACTATTCGTTATTAGATGTTCTAAATGAGTTTCTTAAGTTCGAATTCGACCCACCTGTAGCTTGATATAGCAAACAGTGGCTTTGTAACACGCCCTCACTCCACACTGGTAAATACCTTTTTTATTGGCAGTTGGCCTAAGAAGTACCCAAAAACCTACCGACACCACCGTATATGTATGTCTGTCCATACCTCTAAGATGCAGTAATTTATTATTACTTGTGCCGCTAAGACGCTGCTGCACTTACTACCTGACACATATATACGTATGTATATATTTGTACATACATACAGTTGCGAGAAAAACAGCAGTAAATTTCAAAATGATGCTGGTAACCTATGTTTATTTAATTATTGTTAATAATTTTCTTTAAAATGTGGGCCGATCTGTATCAGAAACCGTATAAATACAAGTTTCAAAGCTTGCACAACGTTCACAAAAATTAATTAAACTTAAGAAATGTTCACAAAATTTCGATTTTTTTAATTAGAAAGATTTTGAGCAGTTTTGTAGCCCATTCAATTTTAATATAATAAAGTGGAAATTTCAAATCTATAAATATTACCGTTGATTTTTTAGAATTTTTTTTGAGGGTATGCGCATTTTCTTCCATATAAAAATAAATTTGGTTCATGCTAAAATTTAATAAGCTACAAAATTGAATACTCAAAATCTTTCTAAGACATTTAATTTAAAAAATTGAAATTTTTATGAGCATTTTTTAAGTTTAATTAATTTTTGTGAACTTTACAGATACAGATCGACCCATACTTTAAATGAAAATTACTTAAAATAAATAAATAAATATAAGTTACCAGCAGCATCATTTTGAAGTTTACTGATATTATTTTACTCGCAGCTATACGTGTTTGTATTTTACATGGCATCTTTCTCTGGTCACAATATCAAAGCATTTATTTCTTATTCATGGTGCGTTTCTCTTTTACCTACTTTTGTTCGCTTTTTTGCCTCATCTCTACAACAATTGGAACTCAAAGCCTAATTAAAGCGAAAATGTGTAACAGTTTGCATTTTGAATAAAATTTCTTCCTCGTATAACTAACAGTATCGTATTTGTAAAAAACTCAATACGTTTTCTGGGAAAATATTTGAATAATGTGCCAGGCCCTGAAAAAAGATGGGTATGTAGAGGGGTTTCACTCCGATACTGAAAAGCCAGCATGCAAGAGGCTTATATTTAAAAGTTATTCGATGTTAAAATCAAGAAATTTTGCAAGGAAATATGTGTGTATAGAAGCTCAATTACCTGAATAACTGCCGTTGCACCGGCTATGGCAACCACAGCATTTTTGCAGGAAACTCCTTATCTAGTAGGCGGGCTTCGGCCGCGCTTCAGGGTCATTCCTTAATCAGCGGAATTCTCCTTTTTGCGTTGCCGTAGAAGAGGGGAAGAGCCCCTCTTCTGTTGTCAAGGGCATATAACATTTCTTGTGCATGTAAATATTCAAAGTGGCGTGAAATAAAGGAAAATGCTTTGTTTTTTTGTAGTCCCAATTTTTTCTCAAACGTCTGGCAGCGCACTATTTTGGGCACTTTCCACCATTTCTTTATTTCGTTATTCGTGAAAAGATTTAAATACATAATACATACATTGTCATATTCAAAATATTTTAGCAAAGAAAAGAAGAAATATACGCATTAGAAATAACCCATATTATATCGAAATAAAGAGATAATTAAATGTTTGATAAATATATTTATTTTGTGAAATTGGTGACAAAAATTTAACAACAAATTAATTAAAAACTATTAGTTACTAAATAGTTAATAATATAATAGAATAGCGCTTACACATATATAAGTGTTTGGCCGAGCTTCTCCTCCGATTTTCGGCGTGCGCCTTGATGTTGTCACACAAAGGGGAGGGAGCTACAGGCTTAACACCGACTCCGAACGGCGATTGTACATATTTCTATTTGAAGTTGTTTTACATGGCAGAAATACACTCGCAGGTTTGCCATTGCCTACCGTAGGGGGACCGCTCATTTTTTGGGATATTGCTTTGACCGGGACTTGAACCCAGGCCCTGCGGAGTGGAGGCGCGCACTGCTAACCACTACACCACAGCGGCCGCCAGAATTTTAATTTTGTTGACGCAGATGATAACAAATTTAATAGCCTTTACTAATACAAAAAGAAATTGAAGATTGGACAACTACATCCAAAGAGAATTGCAATTAGGTGAGAGCACTTTTTTTCAGATCCCAAAAACTCTAAATTTGGCAATATCTCAAAAGATTGTCTACTTTCTTGTATTCTGATTTCGTACTGGGATTCAGCGATAAATTCTTCATAAATATTCATACAAAAATGTCGCGGTTGGCGAATTACATCCAGAAAATTGGAATTAAGTAAGTGCACTTTTTCCAGATCTCAAAAACGCGAAATTTGACAATATCTCAAAAACTGTTTTACTTTATTGTATTCCGATTTCATATTCGGATTCAGGGGAAAATTCTGCGTAAACATTTATTCAAAAATGTCGCGCCTAGCCCACTACATCTCAAAAAATTTTAATTAAGTGAATGCAAAATCCCGAAATTCGGCTATATCTCAAAAACTATTCTACTCTATTACTTTTGATTTCGTATTCGGATTTAGCGTGAAATTTTACATTAGAATGCATATAAAAATGTCGCTGGGCGGGCAACTTTTTCTTTTCTGTAAACTTGTGTTATTGCCGACAGAAATGTAAGGCGGACCCGAGTGTGTTCTATTATGAAAAACTTGTAGTCCTTTTGCCACGCCCGGTACAAATTAAATATCGTTGGAAATCTTAGAAAAAAGCTATCGAAGTAAGCCATTTGCGAAGAAAACAAAACTGATACATTGTTTAAAAAATGCCAAAAAAATGTGTTGCAAATCTTTGCAGAAAGAAATGTTATCAAAAAATTATAGTTTCCACCAAAAAGCACGGAAAAAGTTCTAATAGGTGTGAGGACTAAATATCCACAGAATCTAGCCTACACGAACGCCTGCCCCTACACGAGCAACGACAACGACGACAGCAGCGTGATCAATACGGCCAATCAACACAAGAGACCAAGATTTGCAACCTGCCAATTTTTATTGGAAAAGTGTATAATAACCAAAAAAATTTGCAAGAGAACACTGAATCGAGAGCGTAATAACACCGGAGAGCTGCAAATTCTTGCTAGTAAAATTTTTACTATCAGAAATTAGCTAGCAGAAGAAGAAAAAGAATGAATGCCAAAAGCTGTCATCTGTTGAATTGGTTAAGCGAAAACAAAAGTAAAATAAGTGGAAATAAAAAAAATATTAATGATGTATTGGACTGTGTAAGTGCTTGCGTGTAAAGCAAAGAGTTTAAAACTGATTTATAAATAGTAAAATGTTTACATCAGAATGTCAAAACAGTGAAACGACTATTCACTTGCAAGTTTTTGCTAGTTTTGTGTTCAATAACTGTGTCTGGTACTTTTTTCTTCTTCTCAATTTCACACTATTTTGGCGACACCGTCACCATAGCATCGCAACATGTTGCCATACGACTCAGCAACACGAAAAGCATCAGCCAGAGTTGGCACCTCACCATACCGATTGCGTACCAAAAGCTCTGAAAAATCGTAGTAAAATGTAAAAAATTTTAGCAAAAGATATAAGCAGGTTATTATTTTAGATTTAAATACATATTTTATATTGTAAACCAAAAACATAATTAAGTTTCACAAGCCTTTGTAATTTTTTAAGTATTATATTATAATTGTATATCTTACGGTTTTTGCTGCTTATCTAAGTACAATCGTCAATAATAAGTGAGAATTAACTTTTTTTGAAAATGTCGATCATTTGATTTCCACGGAAAACTGCAATAAGACGAAACCGTTTGCTTCTGTTGAGTCTCATTTTATCTCTATGCCAGAATCTGTTATGGGTTGCACCAAATCTGGCAACGAATCCATGGTGGAAAAAGGCAAGTAGCTCGACAAGCAATACATGGTCATTCATCTTCGTATCCTTCCCGCACATTGAATCTTTCAGTCTGGTTATGACATCCGGTTAAGGCTGGGCCTTGAATTGCATTCTTCGTTTATGTGAAAATTTAACCGGTTGTGCCTATTATGTTGCATAATTTGCAGTAAGAGTACCCATTTAGATTTTGAAGTCATGGCCTGTTTATCACATTTTTAAAGTAATAGTCATTTACAAATCGTTGCTACCCATAAGTTGGAAGAAATAAAGAAGCGTACTAGAAATAGAATAACACGTAGTGGGGTAGCAAGTTTTAAAACTTTTTTAAAATCGCAGCAAATTTGCTACGATCGTAGCAAAGTGCCAACGCTGGCACCAGCTAAAACAAAAGTGACTTAAGGCCCGTTTACATACAACGTTGGCGTTGGCGTCGCTTCGACAGCTGACTATGAATACATGCATTTATATGAAAGTCTCCACATAACCAAAATTGGGCAACGCCAACACAACGCAGAAAGATGGCCAACTCTCAACATTTTGCGCGCGTTGACAAACAGCTAATACACAATTTTCATTGAGCGTGGGTGAACAACATTTTTCCAGCTTTTGTAAGAATTTGGCTGAAATCAATTAGAATTAAAGATATACCCCAAAAAAAACATTGCGGATTAAATTTAAAATAAGGTAACTGAAAATTCTAAAATGCAGTCCACATTGGAGTAGTAGTGCACTTGGGCGGCACCTGCCCAAAACTCATCTAAAAGATGATCATCATCGACGCCAATAGTTGCGTTCCAAATGCTTCACGATTTGCAGATTTTTACAGGAAGCTGTTCCAGGTGACCACCTTTCATAAGGTTTATTAATGGAGAAAACAGCTTTTCCTGCAAATCTGGAACGCAACTAATAACAATAATTCGAAAGCGGAAATAAAAAACTTCCACTTTGCGTACCTTCTTTTAATGAATTTCACGCAAAGGCCGAATATGAATATCTCCGGCAGAAAGAGGCACAGAAAAGAGAATTCTACTTAGTAAGGGTTATAGTCCCTAAGCGCGGCCGAAGTCCGCCGCCCAAAAAAGGAGTTGGACGCAGGTGTCGTCCGGGAACAGCTGCATATAAATTCCTGCAAATCGTGAAGTACCTGGAACATTATTGGCGTCGTTTGATACCCCTCTTGACTTTTTTTTTTTGATGAATTTTGGGCAGGTTCCGCTTAAGTGCACTTTTACCCACGTTGGTATTTAAGTTTAATATTTACAATATATTTATATATTTACAGAAAATATAGAGGAGAAGTTAATAGAGGCGGTCAGGGCACCTTTACGATAAAAGCTCCCACCTCTTCCGCAATAAATTATTAAAAGAAAAGGCTTGGGATGCAGTTGCATGTGCTGTGGGAGTACCTGGTATGTAATTGTATATATGTATATGTATATAAATATGTAAAAAAAGTACCTTATTTAATTCTTCCAATAGTGACTAACTGCCAAACTAGGTGGAAGTCTCTCAGAGACCGTTTCGTCCGGGAGACAGGCTTACAGAAGAAGAAGTCGGGATCTGGTGCCGAAGATGGAGCCACATGGCAATATTTGGAAGCCATGGATTTTATGCGAGACTTCGTTGCTCCTCGAAAGTAAGTTAACAAAAAAATAAAATGTATATACCATATCGGTCATACCAATAGCATCCCAATTTCAAAGTGATATTTGTTTGCCACTCATTCTTATTATTATCGCACTATAATTTAAAGGCCTATCAAACTGTGTACTCAAACAAATTCTAACAATTCTGAGAAAGAAGTTTAAAATTTGCGTGAAAATTCGTTGCATTTTTTGTCGTTTTCTACCATGATACATATATTTAAATGTTGTTATTATAATTATTATTTATTTATATAAATATTTTATTTATTTATTTATGGATCATGGTTTTCTACAAAGTTTTAAACTTGGGTTTATATGGGTTTTGTTAGAAAATGAACTCTATTTTAATTGAAAATTCCTATATCGACTGCTGAGTGGAAGATCGACCTATCTCGACAGACAGTTCGAAAACGCCCTATCTCAAAAAACTTTTCAAGAACGCCCTATTTCAGAGTTTTATTGAAAAACACCCTATCTCAGAATTCGGTTCAAAAACGCCCTATCTTACTTCAAAATGTATTGAAAAAGTGCTGACATAGGCCGTTTTTGAATCGGCAGCTGAGATAGGGCGTTCTTGAAAAGTTTTTTGAGATAAATAGGGCGTTTTCGAACTGGCTGCCGAGATAGGTCGATCTTCCACTCAGCACTCGATATGTTCTTATGTGTATATATACTTAAGTTTTAATCTATGTTTGTCTATTTATTTTCAGAACATTTTCCAATCTGGATTTTACTTCACAGGAGGAGGATATAAACGGTATCAGCCCGTGCAACGTGACCGAAACCTCTTATTATGAGGAGTATGAAGTAAGCTCTCCTCTTCCTTCTGTTGCGGCAAACGACACGGAGTAGTCCAACAGCGCAAAAAAAATAAACGGCGTCGTGTAGAAGACGAGGCGAACGAGAGGTTCGGATCACTATGCGCGGCGGTCAATGAATTTGTTGGCTCCAAATCCGAAAGCTTTAATAATAGCCGCAATTTTGAGATTTATAAAGTTCTGTACAGCTATGTATTGAAACATCCGGAGCAGGCCCAAGATTCAATCAAAGTTGAGATACTCAACTATGTTTTCAACTATAATTGCGGCAATTATTAAAGCTTTCGGATTTGGTATTTTATAAAATTAAATAAGTGTTTTTTCATATTTTTAATCAGATTTTTCAGATGTGTGTATTTATACTAGCATTTAATGGGCTATAAAGCTCCATTCTCTAAACATAACTGACAAATCTTATTAAAAAATATGTTTCTTGAATTACTTTTACTTTTCATTAATTTATGTTTATTAAATTCCATAATTGTTCTTTAATAATCAGGGTATTCTTGTGAATTACCCTGTAGTAAATAAAAGACTGCATAATTTTTATAAAATTAGATATATGTACATACACACACTTGTGGTCAGCTGATTAAGCTAAGAGACATTATGACTTTTACGAAGTTTCAAATATGGATTTATATGATGGTGGTGGTTATGCTATGTGCTAGGCTTTTATAAAAAAAATATAAACATTAGACAAACAATATTATAAACAAATAGACAAAAGAAAAACTGGAAAAAATGTCACTTAACTTAATCCGCTGACCACAAGGGTATGTATTCTGAGGTAGGGCGTTTTCGAACTAACTGCCAAGATAAGTCAATCTTCCACTCAGCCATCGATATGTACCTATAATCAAAGACTGGATGTATATAATACATACATATATGCATATGCACGTAAATAAAATAAAATGTATGTACTTGCATACATACATATATACAAGCATATCCCATTGCATAAAAAATATTGTTTTATTTAAACAAGGAATATGAATGAATAAAGCTTTAATAAAGCTTTAATGGGCAACAAAGCTGCATACTCAAAATCTTTCTAGAAAACATAATAAAAAAGTATCAAGTTTGTATGGAATTTTATTGAATTATCCTGAGTTGTGCACAAAGTTTAAAAGTTTAACATTTCTGGTTTTTGTTGTAGCATGAGTATATTTTTATACAATATTAGCATAAGCATAAAAAACTTTGCATTCATTCCGAAAAATTCTCTGTACGTAAAATTTTGTCGCCGAGTGTGTGTTAAACATTTCAAACAAGATACGTACAATGCAGTTTAATACAACAGAAGTATTAGTAGTTAAGTTTAAGCCAGAGCTATGCAACATGTGCGGACTTGGTTGTGGATTTAGCGGTAATGATGGCCAGCCGATGGATGTGGAACGCAACCCGCTATCGTGGGGCGACTGGGGACTGGTGATGAGCCGCCAGTACCTGCGCCATATACACTGCCAGGACCACTGTCTCTTAACTTTGTGAGCGACCACGATAAACAGCATTTCATCGACATGTCTCAAAAGAAAGCCCGGCAAAGGAAAATGGAAATGCTTAATGCAAGAAATACATATACGTGGCGTTCAAAATAATAGCAGCAAAATCAAAATGATGCTGTTGGCAACTTATCTTTATTTATGTATTGTTAATAATTTTCAAAGTTGACAACAAAATTTCAAACTTTTTAATCGGAATCTTTAGAAAATTTAGAAGTTTTGTAGCCCATTCAATTTTAGTATAATAAAGTGCAAGTTTCAAATCGCAAAAAATTACCGTTGATTTTTGAGAATTTTTCTTGTGGAGGGTGATGCTCATTTTCTTCCGTATAACGCAGAAATATATGAAAATTATTAACAAAAAATAAGTAAGTTGCCAAAAGCGTCATTTGGAATTTCGCCACTATATATACAAACAGCCAGCATCAAAAATATGAATACCCTCACGTTTCTTTATATATATTTTCCATTTTTCGAACTCAGCGAATTATAGGTTTCATAATTATATTATAATTTTCTGTAATTAGCTTTTATCGGCGTTGAAGCAAGTGCGGTTTGCGTAATTGTTTTCACACCTGGTACATATTCTTCAATGTTAATATTCTCATCCAAACGTTCATAGCTGAGACGTAGCGTTTGTGTGTAAAGTACTTTAAGCTGCAGAGACTGACAAAAGTGATGGAAACAGTTATATACCTCGCTTAGTGCCTTTGGATTTTCGACTAAGCGTGCCTGTATAAGCTGGTGAATATAATTAACTTGAAGTTGATGCACCAATGCCTTGCCATCTGAAAAACATTCGTGAAAAGAGCAAAATAAAAAAATAGATTCAGTATTATAATGAGTCCACAGAAGACTTATGTACAAACCGCCAGTTTCATGTGACATACGCGCCAACCTATCCGCAGTTTCTAAGGATAGCATATTTTGATTGTCAAGGAAGCTCATGATATTCTATATAAGAGTATAATTAATCATTGAGTTTTATCGTCGTAGAAAAAGTGCGCAAAATAATTGTAAAAGGAAGCAATATACAGCTCAATATTTACATATTTTTACATACCGCAATGACTAATACTTCTATTCTTTGCAACTACATGTTATGTGAGTGACTTAATTGAATAGGTGTGTATTTAATTAATAGGATGCGCGGCTAGGGACACGATATCGAACCGAAAGTATCGATATGGTACTCATTTAAAGTATCGCTTTAAAAATATCGGGTACCCATTAATATCGGAATAAAAGGACTCGATATTCCAAATATCGATATCCAAATCCAAAAAATGTATCTGAATATAGGTTCCGCATATAGGCCCCTGGGGTGTAGTGGTTAGAAGTGCGCAACCCTTGGAAATGAAAAACAGCTTCCCATAAAATACAATCGCCGTTTAGAGTTGACATAAAACTATAGGGACCCCATTTGTGCCACAACATTCAGGCCCACGCGACAAATCGGAGGAGAAGTTCGGCCCAACACTAACATATTGTGTAAGCGCCGGACTGTATTATTATTACAACACGTAGATATTGACTTAAACATTAATTACCGTTTAAAAATTTTCGTATTTAAATCAAGTGAAAAGTCTTAACCAAATGGATTTTTCCATTATACATACACTACGTACATATATGGGTAATATTCAATTCAAATACTCCCGTACTAAAATGAAGCATTTTTCACTGCACGGATGGCGTTTTGCACGTCTCGGATGCTTTTTCATATGTAATTAAGAAGTTATATGTATACAAAGCATGCACAGCGGTGACAACACATACACACATACATGGTATGACATAATGCACAAATCGCGCGCTGTGATGTTGATCCAAACTCAACATTTGAAAACACCTTTACCGTGGAAACACAATGCCGGCGAACGGCGAACTCACCACAGCGAAATTACCGCTGTCCAAATTTGAACACCCGCCGGCATATGAAATTGAACACAGCCAAAGCGAAATGCGAAGTTCGCTCGGTGGCGTTTCGTGGCGATAGATTTATTTCTATCGCTCTGCTGGGCGATGGCGGCAGTACATGCCAAAGGTGGCCGTATGTTTTTTTACTTTCAAAGATTTAGAAGAAAACAGCATGTAACACGAATTATTTTTGATGGTTGCAAAATACAGTGAACGATTCGTTAAATCTGGCTTAAAATAAAATAATTTATAATAATTCCCCCTTGCCTATATTTATATTTGTTATCATTTCATCATTTCTAAATATGGTTTCGTTTTTCAAAATATGGTCACCTCACTTATAAGTGCGACGAAATGGTATCAGCTGTTTTCGCTACCGCTCTAATTCTGTTAAAGTTGGCGAAATAGCAGGGCGAACGGTGAACGACGGCATCGCCCAATTCGGCGAACTTCCCCGTTGTAGCTGAGAGTGCAAAGACGCTTGATACAATTAGTTGCGGCCAAGAGGGTCCGGGTTCAATTCCCATCAGACGGAACATAAAATTATTATTTTTTCTTAATTACATCTGTGCACTTCACAACCACATATTTTATAACGTATATACTCAAATTTAAAACGAGTTGGGTTGGTGGTCTTTCATATGCGTATTTTTTTCAATTTAGCACGTTATTTTTTTAATTCTAAAATTTTTTTCCCTCAGTGTTGTAATGTGTGTTTATGACATTCGATACGATACCAGAGTTCTGGTACTCGATTCCAAAAAATATCGTTTTAAAACTATCGAGTAGAAAATATCGGTATCGAATGCCAAAAGTATCGATATAGTATCGTATCGTATCGAAATTCGTGTCCCTATGCGCGGCTACATAATCTTTCAATTGATCTCTCAACATGAAAGCACTTCTTGTAGCGTGGTTTGACATTAATCGACCAGTTAGTTCCTCGTACAGGTGTTGAGATTTCTTGGCGCCATAATCCATTTAATACATTGGCCCGTAGTCATAGTCAAAATAAATCGACTTTAAAGTTAGTTGCAGCTTTTTTGACAGATATCCCATTGAAAATTATGTCAAAAAGCTGCAACTAACTTTAAAGTCGACTTTATTTTGATTATGACTACGGGCCATTGTCTCCTTCATATCGAGTAACATATTCAGTTGGGAATTAACTGCCATCGTTTAGCTTTAAAAAATTATGTAGCAGCACTGTTGCTTTCACGATGCTCTCCGCGCTTGATGGTTGCATTTGCAATGGGGATAGCAAAATCCTCCATCGTGCTGTCCTAATTCCGAAGGCGTTTTCAATAACACGCGGAGCTCTTGAAAGGCGCTTATTAAAACTTTCACGATCGGGTGGCAGATGCAATCCTGAAATTAAAAAAGGCTTATTTGTATGTACATACAAATGCACATAGTATAGATGCAAATAATGGTTGAGTTGCAAGCAGTGTTGCCACAAAGATTTTTAATTTTTTACCAAACTCAGAAAAAAATTACCAAATTTTTATCAGCATAATATTCTAAACAAATTGGAAATTATTTTTCAACGTATGTAGATAATACACCACGTCTGGGATTGTGGCCAGCTTAGATCTACTTATATTTTTCGACCGAAAAATGAGTTCTTCCTGTTCTTTTATGACAAACTCATAAAAATGCATGATGTCGCTGCCGCGTTCAAAAAATTCATATCACCATCGTCTGAGCGTTTAGATAACGAAGATGAACCATTTACAGCTGTGGTTATCCTTTTCAATGTGTTCCGACTATACCAATTCACAAATATTTTTAATGACCGGTTGTTCAATGTATTTAACCGGAGCTTCTACCTCCGATTTGTACTAATCAGACATTGAACAATCGGCCCTAAAACATAAAACAAAAAAATCGCTCAGAGATTTACAAACATTTAAAAGGTGTTTAATAGTTCATTTCTACTGCAGTTTATGCCTATTGGAAAAAAGCAGATTACAACTCGAAGGAGGTAGTTGCTCATATTAGGTACAAGCAAATGAAAGGAAAATAACGAAAACAAATAAATAAACATTGCAGATCACCCTTTGTTAAAAATATCTAAACTCTTAACTGTAGTTAAGCGTTTGGTGGAAATGGGCTGTAACATACAGTCTTTTACATAATTTATTTTACATAACTTAAAACCAAAACCTGAAATCAGCAAATGTATCGTTGAACGGTAGATGAAATTTACTTTTACTATTTTATAAGTGGGTCACATTCGTATTTAATCGCAAACTTTTAATTAGTCCCGTGAAATTATTTTCTTTCACCATTGGTTCCGGCAGGTAAAAATGATCCAAAATCCAGATTTGTGGGACTGTAAGGGCTGTGAACGAGCCGCCATATTGGGAAAAATGGGTGGTTTCCTGCTATATTGGAAACTCATACTAAAAGTTCTGAGTTGTCAAGGCAAATTGTTAAATTAAAGAGCCCTTTCAATTTTTGGCTCTCTTAAGGTGTAGATACATACATATGTAAGTACATAAGCAAATTTTTTTGTTTTGTGCAATTGTCAGAAGGTTCAAAGTTATAAATTTTTATATGTAATAAGTTAGTATTAAAAACTTAAAAGAAAAGACTTACGTTAAAAAAATTACAAAATTGAGAAAAAAATTGCCAAATTACCAAACTTTTTCTAAAAAGAAAAAAATTACCAGTTTTGGTAAAAAATTACCAAAGCGGCAACGCTGGTTGCAAGTTGTATCAATGCAAAGCATTAGACTCTTTTATTTCCAAACTATAAATGCAACTTTCAACATAACCATTTTCTATGCAATACATTTTCCGTATACTAACCAGGATAGGGCCGCATTAAATTTTTTTTTAAGGAAATGCTGCATCTCCAACGAAATAATGAGCTTAATATTGATGTCTGGTAAAAAGTCATCCTCAGGCAGCTCTAGTTGATCATGGAACAGCCTTTGACCAAATCCAGAATTCCAAAGCATACCGCCGTCGCTTTGCGAACCCTACGCACCAATATCGATAAAAGTAAATGTGTAATTCGCATCGCAACATGCTAATAATACGATGGAGTAGGTACCCTTGTAATTGTAAAATAGAGATCCGGAGTTGGAAGGACATTTTAAAGTGATGTGCTTTTCCGTCGATTGCGCCCACAGAGTTCGCGAAATTCCACATAGTGTTGAAGTCATGCGATATACGTTTCCACTCGCGCCTTTTTGGCACAGACAAATATACACTGCCAAGTTCACTCCAAAGCGCTTCGCAGGTTTCCAAAATTATTTTGTTGACTGTGAGCGACCCATTTTATACGCTGTAGCGTACAAATGCTGAGTTCCCCCGTGTGCTAGGAAACTATGAATGTAATGCACACAAATTACTATGAAATTTTCTTTAGAAATATTTACTTACTTCAATTCAGAAAGAAATACTTTATGAGGCGAGCCCAAAGAGCAAATCAAACACCTCCATAGTCATCCTCACCGTAGTTTTGAACTGCTCCGGGTCATTTTTGTACATTTCGTCAAAACTGGTTACAAATAGTCCATCAATGTCGCGACTTAAGTAAAGAGGTCTTACCCACTCCCGCCGCCGAGAATTAATTTTCTTCAAACACTCGCGAGCCTCGTACATAAGTAGCACTATTAATATTATTTCGATAACAGATGGCATTATTTTTTTAATAACGCTCGAGGATACACACATATTTTCACTGGCAAAAAAAAAAAACAAATGTCTATTTGAACATTTAAATTATTGGGCCGGCTTCCTATGAAGCTATACCGCCGTAAATAATTCGGCTTTGTTGTATTTGTTTGCGTTTTATTAACTAAATTATAAACTTTTTCTTATTTCCCGGTTATTTACTCTACCACGTGGCTTGAACAAATGTCATCGCCGGCGCTGTCAAAACGTTCATTGTAGCAAGGACACATGCCACTCGCGCTGCTGTCAAAGCGACGCCAACGCCAACGCAACGCCAAAGTTCTATGTGGACGGGCCTTTAGCAACATACGAGGCAGTCAGCACGGATTTGTGGTCGTGAACGCACAGCTATTAGTGAATAGCGCATGACTTGTAAATGTGCAACTATGCAAGGCTGGGCTTTTCAACGCAACAGAGCGCCTAGTAGCGCATAGTAGCAACGACGTCGCACGGTAGCAGAATACCGAAATAGTAGGGCCGACGTCGCACCGCAGAAGAGCATTGGCGCAGTAGCGCCGACATCGTCCATAAGCAGAGCGCCGAAAA